ATTACACTCTTTATAATATGCATCTTTTGAATCATATTTAGGAATTGGTGAAATTGAAAAATATAGTTGAAGCTCTGTATTAATTTGAGAAAGGGATGAAGTCTCAATTCCATCATCAAAGAAAGAAGTCAATTTTGTATCTAAGGCTTGATTGGTAGTTGATAAGTTGTTTTTTTTGTAAAAAAGCTTAATTTTTTTATATAACTCCTGTATTACTTCTTTTTGTATTGTAAGTGAGGCAGCTGATAATGTTTTAAAGCAGGGTCAAGAAATATTACAAGCCACCTGATTATCTCTAGATCATCCCATCGAGATACTATTAATGTGTGGAGACCTTGATGTATTTCAATAGCATCTAAGTTTGTAAATTTACCTTCTACTTGATCCAAAATTTTAAAAAGGTATTATATAGTAGAATATATCATACTTAATGTTGGGTATTGGTCACTATCTATAAATATTAATGCTTGTACAAATAGACGTAGCATTTGACATATCTTATCAAGATCTAGAATTTTTTTTTTAAAAAAAAAAAATAAATTTAAAATAATTAGGATTTTTATAACAAAAAGTGGCAATAGAACTATTATATAGCTCTATTGCCACTTTTTGCTCTTTTGTACTAGAAACCTTCAATTAATATGAAATTATAAATAGGAATATAAATTATCTGTCTATTCTTCACCAGTAAGTATTTTTTCATTTAAGCTATTACCATCGGCATGAATTGTATAGTCAGGATCATTTGCTAGATTTGTTGCCAATTCTAAAGTTGGTTCTCAAAGTTTAAGAAGCTGTTAAAGAACAAAATATGTGAAGTTCTATCTAGTGGTAGTGTCACTTGATATAGAATCTAAAATGGACATATTAGTGGTTAGTTGATTTATATTATTTTTTTTTTTCAATTATTTCACTTTGAATTTTTCAGAATAATGATCTATATTTGTTACAGTTAACTAAAAAGTTATTTAATAATTTTGTACATCCAATTAAAGAATCAACTTTTTTTAATCTATCTGTAACTGAGAGGTGTATGGTATGTGCTGTACAGCCAAGGTAGAGAGTGTCTAATTGTCTAATTGCCTTTATTATTGATAATGCATTGTCAGTTATTACAGTACTAATTTTATCAAACATATCCCATTTTACAAGAACCTTGTACAAAAAATCTTCAATTTGATCTCCTGTGTGTGGATAGAGGAAATGCTCAATTGTAATTAAGGATTGATACATGATAAAGTTTTTAGAAAGCCAATGAGCCATTATGCCAATATATGAAACATGATTTTGTGTCTATAAATCAGTGGTAAGGCAGATGGAAACTATTGTTTGACTCATTATTTTTTTAGCATCACACGTGTATAAAATACTGATTCTTTAATGATATTTTTAATGGTATTGGTGCAAGGGACTTCAAAATGTTGATTAATCTCATAACAAAAGTCTCGAAACTGATTATTGTTGATACAATCTAATGGCATCATTTCTTCAACAATCCAAGTAACAAGTCGATAAGCTATGCGATTTTGTTGCTTTTCAGAAAGGGAATAAGTATTTTCTATCTGTTTTTGTATGATTTTATCAATTGTTGGCTAATTTGTTGATATAGGATTTTCAGTTGATATAGAAGATACATCCTATTTTTGGTCCTTAAAAATTTGATGCTCTGTGCGCAAATGCACAGCTATATTAGATGTTGATGTTGTTGGCATAAACACAACCTTACACTACTCAGAAGTAGTATCTTCATGATCTATACAGACTTTACAATATTTGATTTTGGTTACTTTATCTCAGCAAGTATTTTTCCATACCCAACTAGCAGTAGGCCTGCTTTTTTTTTTTTTTTTGTACTGTGTTTGATTTAAGATTTTTTTTTTGTTGAAGTTCCTTGTAAGGGAAAATAAGATGTAATAGGTAAAAAATTAACAGTATTTTCCTCCTCTTCACTAGTATGATCGTCTCCTTCATCATAATTAACATTTTCATCACTAAAACCATTTCCATCTTCAATATTATCATTAAAATTAGGGTCAAAATTATAGATTTTGTCATATTCAAATGATATATTATTTTCAATAGCATCTCCTTCAAACAATTGAGCGCTAGACATCTTTGTCAAGGATGGATTTTAACATATAATGGTATGAGTATTGATGCCAAATTTTTAATTTATTATATTCTTTTTTTTTTTTTGATTATCCAAATTTTAACCGTATATTATGTAATACTGAGGTTTTGAAGTATGGAATTCTTGATTTTTTCAATTTGAGAATTCATTTTCTAAAAATCAAAGATATTCTTTTGGGCGCATTCAAAATTCTCATGCCCCGAGCTTCATTAATACTCTATTCAGATGGTGGTTTGCACTGCGATCACAGTTTAGTTGCTTGGCACAATATAATATTATGCCATAAAGAGGCAAAATAAACGTATGGCATTGATTTATTATCAAAAAATTAGAGAGATTGGTAATGCAAATATAATATTCAATATTGTTATCTTAGGCATTTACAAGTATCTACCTCAATGAATTCCAAGAATTCAATAAGCCAATTGTTGAGTTCATTGAAGTAGTGCTTGAGAACGTCCTTAATGGAATTGGAGTTGAATATAATGCATTCATTTATTAACAAAAATCTGCAGCTAATTGGAATTTATTTGATTTTTTACTATTGCCACTGGTTTTGGCATGGGGTTATTGCATTTAAATATTTTTTTTTTTTGACTAAAAATTAGATTTTGGTTTTTTTTTTTCAATTTAGCCATGACAAAAAGCCTATTATTTTGGGGATTATTTGCGCCATGCTCATTTTTGCGAAATTTAGTGCGTGGTTCCTGAAGACTACTCAAGAATTTTGGGATCGCTTGCATAATAATTTAACTATTTTAATTATTAGCTATCTAATTTATAAGAATTGTCGGTTGGCTAAACATATGTGAATCGGATTTAGTTATTTACAGGCAATTATTCCAATCTTGAAGATGATCGTTCAATTTATTTTTTTTTAATGGACATTTATACGCATATGCGTTTTAAGGTTTTTGCTAGGCACGGGTACTTGCAGATATTTACATTTAATTATATATATATATGCTATGTTAAAATAAGTTTTTTTACATATGTATACGTATGTGCGATTTTGTTTATTATAAGTAATTTATTGGCCATTGTTTTTATATAACCCATAATAATAAATCGGCTAAGTCGATTTTTTGGAAAATCGACTGGCTAAGCCGGCTAAGTCGATAAAAATCGACTATGCAAAATCGACTACAAACACTAGTGCGTACATATGTATCGTATCAATTTATAGAATCTATTATGCTGAGATCACTAACTTAATCGAATCGGCCGAAAAATTATTCGACTAATTTTTATCAGGTGTTTCCAGGAATTATGATAATAGCAGTAAATCCGGATGCAGGTATTAACTCTAGTACGAACAGAAATTGAAATAAAAGATATAAAGAAGTCACGTTGTGCACTATATAAATTGCGTTTTAGATACCCGGGTTTTTTAAAATCATGTTTGCGACACATACTTGATTAATCCCAGATACAAATCGTGAATGAAGACAAATCGGGCTTCAATTTGCACATAAATTGACCAATTAGATTTTAAGATCAGGTGTAACGTGAAAATCACGCGTTTTTTTAAAAAATGGCAAATACATAACTCAAAATTTTATGAAACTACTTACAATAACAAAAAAAATTCCTTGCTAAATTTTGAAAAAGTTTCGATGCGATCATAAGATAATAACGCTAACACTAATATAATGTTTTGTTATTTTAAAAATTGTTGTTTTGATGTGCTGCTGGGGCAGGGACGAAGATTTTCTACGGTGATAAATAGTCAATTCCGTCCGTGATAAAATAAATTCCTGCGTTATTCTGCGCCCCAAATTTATGAATTCTGTATTAATCCGTGCATTAAAATTTATAAATTCTGCGTTTGTAGAAATCTCAAATATTCTGCAATCATTTTTCTACGTCGGGACTTTTCGGAAGATATAGTTTTGGGATTGTTTACCTATAAATCCTTACATTCTGTAATATTTCCGTGCCATATTCCTACTTTCTGCGACAATTCCGTGCTATTTTTGACGCATTCCGTGTTTGTCCACCAATTCCGTGATTCTGCGGCATTCCGTGAAATGCAGAAAATCATCGTCTCTGTGCTGGGGTAGTTTGAAGGGGTACTATTTGTCGAAAATTACGGTAATTGTTTACGTGATTTTCGACCAGAATTAACATTTTTATTCGAAAAAAAAAAAGAATTTTTTTGGAAAAAATAGATCTGTTCTATAGTAAAGTTAGCCCAGGAATGTTTTTCATTTAATGGACAGCTGGAGTAATCCGACCTAAATTTTTGATCGTCGTTCTCAGTCAATCAAAATCGAAAATCTGCCGTGACAAAATTGGCGTGATTAAGTAGAGCATAGGATCGATTTTTTGTTCATTCAGAATTAGATGTAGCTTGAAAAATATTCAAACCAAATTCTCGCTTTGCAAAAATCATTTATCTTAAAATTTAGGCCTGTAAATCACCGAGGTCCTAATAAAAGAACTCCTCGTTCGTCGACAGGCAATTTTAAATTTAGGGTGTTAATTAAGGCTCCAGCCTCTAAAACGCCACCATTTTGCTAATAAATATACAAATCGTTTTATTTTGTTAAAATAATCTCAATATTTGCATAAATTATATAGCTAAACATCTAAATATAAAATTCTACTTGTACGTATATGGCTCGAGCTGCAGAGTTGGCAATAGAGTCAATGGAGCTCCTAATGAAGCTCAATATTACTATCCATTGTGTCCATTCAGGGTTCCATTTGGCTTCATTGAAACTCTGCAACCCATGATTTCGGTATCGTATCATTAATTAATCCCAGATTACTATATTACATCGCAGAGACTGCTCAGATGTTATTTGAGCATAAAATTGTACAAAAGTCTAATGCATAATAAAATTCCATCCATACAAAAGTATCTTTAAAACAAATTATTAAGATCTGGAATGTCTTCTAAATCTACCCATAGATCAATATTGTTTCCAGATAATACCTGAGAAATTATTTGTTGTGGCAAGAATTGTTTGCCTTCAGAATTAGGTGACGACTTTATTACAAATCTTTTTCCATTAGGAGCACCCATTGGAAATACAAATTTAATAAGGTCACCGAATGTTGTATCTAAAGTAATATGTATATTGCTTTTAAAGGGAGACTTTTTTTTCGTATGGAGAGTTACCAATCCTAACGCTGATTCTCCCGGTATGTTAGTATTTGCATTTTTATTCTATACGATTAATTAGAGTAAATAATTAAATAAATTTCATTATTTAAGATTAAATTAACTAATTGTTAAATAACTACCTGAGCTGTTTCTTGAAAGTTTTGAGATTGAAGGTATGGTGATGAATCATCTTCAGGCGTAAATCTTGGTGCACAGTTTGGTGGTGAATCTTCAGAATCTTTAGATGGTGGATCATTAGATGATGGATCTTCAGATGGTGGTTCTTTTGATGGTGAATCTTTTGATGGTGAATCTTTTGATGGTGAATCTTTTGATGGTGAATCTTTTGATGGTGAATCTTTAGATGGTGAATCTTTAGATGGTGGTTCTTTAGATGGTCGATGTACTATTAATCGATCTAATGCTGTTTATTAAATAGAAACATAAGTAATCGATAATGAAATTATAAAGCGAAGATTATAAAAATGATATATACGCCATCCTTGAATCTCATCAGGTAAAGTTTGTTCTTTATTATTTTTATCACTATTGATAGAGATTTTATTGAATTGTCCAGTAGTTTTATCGACAGCATAAACCTTTTAAAAGAACTAAACAATGTGAGGTACTAGGAATTTTTTATAAGTCAGAAAGCTGATTTAAAAAATACGAACGTTTAAAGATAAATTATTATCAATATCAAACGTGACTTCAATTTGTGGTGTGCCTCGAGGAGCTGGAGGAATACCAGTAAGAATAAATTTACCAAGCAAGCTGTTATCTTCTGTACTGGCACGATCACCTTCATATACTTTAATAAATAAGGCAGGTTGGTTGTCGTAATATGTAGAAAAGATCTCCCTTATTTTCGTAGGCACTGAGGTATTTCTTTTTATAAGCGGGGTCATAACCCAACCATCAGTTTCAATACCAAGAGATGAGTAGATAGTATTGAGCAAAAGAAATTCATTCATTTTTTCTGATACGTTGCCAGACAATTTAGCAGCGAATGCTGCAGCACCATAGGCAACAGATTCATTAGGGTTAATGGATTTATTTAGTGGTTTACCGTTAAAGAAATCTGAAATAACTTTTTGAACCATAGGAATACGAGTAGAACCACCAGTCAAAATAATTTCATGAACTTGAGTTTTATCTATTTTACCATTTCCAAGCACTCTTTCAATTGGTTCGAGAATAGATCTAAATAAATCCTGATTTAACATTTCAAATTTGGTACGAGTCAAACGAGTATAGAAGTCAATGTTATCAAAAAGAGCATCTATTTCAATATTTGCACTATTTGAAACAGAAAGCGTGCACTTTGCACGTTCACAAGCAACCTTAAGACGACACATTGCACGAGCATCTAAAGTAAGATCCTTTTTAAACTTGGATTTAAATTCTTGAACAAAATAATTAACTATTCTTTGATCAAAATAATTGCCTCCGAGGATGGGATCACAAGCTTCAGCCTTCACTTCGATGACAGAATCTTCCAAAGTGGTGAGAGATACACCAAGAATTTCACTTCCAAGATCAATAGTTAGAATATTACATTCGTCTGTTGATTTATGTGACAATATATAGGTGATTACTGAAGCTGATGTATCACTAATAAGTCTAAGAGTATTCAAACCAACCGCGTAAGCAGCATTTCTAATGGCTTGCCTTTGTACTAAACTATAGTATGCAGGGATTGCAATAACAGCATTATCAATCTGTACACCAGTAAAATTTTCAGCATCATCTTTTAACTTTGACAATATCATAGAACAAATTGCTTCAGGTGTAAAATATTTAGTAGCACCCATCTCCTCAGTTTTAAAATAAGGCATATTATTTCTATCAACGATATTAAATGGCCAACGCTAACAAGAGAAAGACAGTTAGTTATAGGAATATAATATAAAATATTTTATTAAAAAAATTCATACTCTTAGATTCATAATCAGATCTGTTTGGTCATTAAAGTTACAACCAACAAATTTCTTAGAACTATAAAAAGTATTGCAAGGGTTTCTAGATATTTGATTTTTTGCAGAATCACCAACTAAACGTCCATGATTAGTGAATGCTACATATGAAGGAGTGATGAGATTGCCACTGTCATTTGTAATTATTTGAGTATGGTCTTCTTTCCAAATACCCATACAAGAATATGTTGACCCTAGATCAATACCAACTAATAATTTGAAATCATGTTATTCAATTTCGGATTCATATCGAAATTGTTAAAAAATTGTTAATCTTAAACATACTAGACATTTTTTTTTTTTCTTGTTCTCTCTTAATTATTGTATTTTTTAGGAATTAATGCTAGAAACAGTGTGTTTGAAGATGTTTTTAAAATTAAACGAGACGGTAAATAATTTAACGCTTAAATGAATTTTAAGGTTGGATCAATGAAATTTAATCCACATTATAAGCATATTTGGTTTTTACATATGTATGTGCATACGTGCATTTTATCACCACTTTGGGAAAGTTACAGTAATACAAATTTAGACAGTCGTACGTACATACGAAAAATACGTACACAAACCGCTAATCTTTTGCATTATATTATTCTATCGGATTAAATTTTCCAAATACAAAGCTTTCTGAGTGCGGTGGTCTCGATAGCTTGCACTCAGGGAGGGTTGATCGTAACACGTACGACGGTATTAGCAACTCTCTTAATTTGTAAATTGTAATATATACTATAATAGAAACATTATTTCAAACATTATTACAGCAATTTCAAAAGTACGTACGTATAGTTAACGAAGCTTATAAAATTTAGCTTTTAATGATTAGGTTAGGGAGAGCGTTCTATTATTCTTTCCGTGTTAAGATATGGTACAGATGGACTATTATGAAAATTTCTTTATTTAAATATCCCAATACTTATATTTCACGTATTTAATAAAAACTTGATGAGTTATTGTCATTCTGAATCGTAAATAAATTTAAAAACATGAAGAAAGGCAAATTAGTAGTTCTTTGATATGAAGAAACAAAAGGATAATACTTTTTCGAAAACAAAAAGAACACGAATCGAGCAGAAATAACTTCTAGATGCCTTTGAAAAATGGTGTTTCGTTTACTAAAATTTATTGGTCAAGTGTAATGTCAGAAAATTTTCTGTGTAATGATTTAATTAAGGGATCAGCAAGCTACACATATTCAATACTGCAATAAGACTATCTATATGTTTTGTAAGAAAGAATTTTCACTTCTCACACTTGTATCTTAAAATATAACTGATACACCTCAATATGACAGTCAAGGTTTTTTTCAAACTCGTGTAACGCAGATCTTTACGTTTTTTGGTAAAGATCTGCAATTCTGTAGTACAATTTTTTGCCAAATTATTGCCTAATTATTGACTGCGTTGTTACACTTTTGATATTTAGTGCACAATGGCCTTATAAAGCCTCTGGAATCCACACGGATCCCTAAACTACATAGTCTTAGGATACTTTTTGTAAAAAAATTTTAAAGGTTTTTTTAAAACTGATTGTTATTTTCCAATAATAAAAAATGCTTTTGTTTTTTAAATTGAAATCAGGTTTAGAATTTTTAGAATACTTTTCTAATATATTTGCAGATCATTTCCATATTGTGGAAAAACTCTGACTATATTATTTGTAAAAATTTAATTTAATTTAAATTTTTTTAATTTAACTTTTTTTTTAATTTAACCTTTTTTTTAATTTAACTTTTTTTTAATTTAACTTTTTTTAATTTAACTTTTTTTTTAATTTAACTTTTTTTTAATTTGACTTTTTTTAATTCTATTCTTTTTTTAATTTAACTTTTTTTTTAATTTAACTTTTTTTTTTAATTTAATTTTTTTTTTAATTTTAACTTTTTTTTTAATTTAACTTTTTTTTTAATTTAACTTTTTTTAATTTAACTTTTTTTATAATTTAACTTTTTTTTAATTTAACAATTTTTTTTTAATTTAATATTTTTTTTTTAATTTAACTTTTTTTTTAATTTAACTTTTTTTTTTAATTTAACTTTTTTTTTAATTTAACTTTTTTTTTAATTTAACTTTTTTTTAATTTAACTTTTTTTTAATTTAACTTTTTTTAAATAATAATAATAATAATAATAATAATAATTATTATTATTATTATTATTATTTTATTATTATTATTTATTATTAGTAAAATTATTTGTAAATTTTTGTAATAATTTTATTAATACTCTTTTAGCAAATTTTTATTTTTCTTTATTAGTTATATTTTTTTTATTAATTTTTTTATTATTATTTTTGTTAATTATATACAACTAATAAAAAAGAGATTTGTATTATTATATACAGTACAGTATATATATATAATAACAAATTTATAAAAATTAAATAAAATTTTATTATTGCAAATAATACAAAGATCTTGGTTTTAATATTTTATAGAAATTTGGTCTAGTTTTTTTATAGGTAAAAATAAATATTTTGCAATAAGCAATAAATAAATTCTTTGAATTTGGTTTAAAAAAATAAATTATATAATAGCAATTGCTATAATATTTTGTATTGGTTTTAGTAAATAACAAAAGGATTTTTTTGCTTTACTTAAGCTAAATTATTAGCACTTATAACTAACAATATTGTTGATAAATTTTAGTTTTAAAATAAATTTTAATATATATATATATATTCTTTATATTATTTATAATATTTGAAAAAATAGATTTTTTTTATTTTAAAACTAGTGAAATAAAATTTTAAATTTTTTTTGTTTTTTGTATATTTTTATAAAAAATATTAAAAATTGTTAATTTTTATTTGCATTTTGCACTAAACTATATAGTTTTTATTATTTTTACGTAGCAAAAGCTATTTACCAAGTTTTGTAAATTTAATATATAATCATATATATTTTAAGCAAATACCACTACTAGCACAAGTTCATTAAACCTCGATTTAGAGATTTTTCAGAACAAAAGACATGTAACCTGCCACCAACCGAGAAATATATTAAAATTGTAGCACTGTATTAATACATAAAATGGCCAGTAAAGCAAAAAATACAGCTTAGCAGAATAAAAAAGCGGTATAATTATATGTCATATATATATTACGGTATATTAAATTATATTGTAAACTTATTTGTTAAAAATCAAAGTTCTATAAAGTGTATAATTTAGAAATAGCTATTCTATTTTTTCATTTAAAGAATGTGTATCGGTATGTATGTACGTACGCACATACGTACGTACGTACGTTGTAAAAAATAATTTAAAGGTTAGTTTAGTCCATACGAAGTTAACCATTTGTCTCTAACCGGGGTGGGACAGTTTTATAAAACTCCAGAGCGAACTTTTTTTTTTTTTTTTAGATTCTATTTTTTTTTTTTTTTTTTTCTTTAAAAAAAAAAAAAAAAAAAAAAAATAATTTTAAAAATATTTAAAAATAATTAAAAATTTTTTTTTTTTTTTAATTATTTTTTTTTTTTTTTTTTTATTTTTAAAAAAAAAAAAAAAAAAAAAAAATCAACTCTAAAAATTATCAAAAATGATTGAACATTTTTTTTTTTTATTAAATATTAGGTTTTATTTTTCTTTTGAATACTTTAAATATAAAAGTATTTAAAAGACAAATAAAGTATTTACAATAAATTTACGGCATTTAAAAAATCCCTTAAATTTAACAAATAATTAAAATCGAAAATAGCGATAAAAAAAAAAACTCGGGGCGCGAGTCACTTTTTAAGATTCATAAATATATGATATGAAGAATAATTTACTTTGTATGGGCTTTAAGAAATATAGAAATTTAATTAATTCAAATTTTGCGCAGTATTTTGAAGACCATAATTTTTTTGCCTTCCTATTAAATAATTAAATGAAATTTCTATAAACTTATCGTAAAGGATACAATATAAATAAACAACAAAACATTTAATAATATGAGAATACAAAAGATGTATTGTTATTTGTAAACAATAATACAAAATTTCGTTATCGTCGAATGATTTAGTTTGTTAGAATGAAAACTAAAATAAAACAAGCAGCTATCGCTATGGGGTAATTAAAATTAAATTCAGGCGATTATTAGTTTTGCGATTGAGCATTTATTGTGCTGGACTAAAGTATTAAAACATTAGAAAATATTAGCAAATAAAATTTATATTTTCGTGTTACAACATATCAGCCATCCCAATAATGAACATCTCAAAGAGGTGGATCGACTTGACTTTACAACAAAATTTGGATTGATGAATGTTTGTATTGCAAAACCGGAAAAAGAAATGAGATGATTTATTTTGATTTATTCTCTCTTAATGGACTGGCGCTTCTTTTTTTCTTTTCTAAATTTGCTTCTATATAATAATCGATCTTGATTCGTCAATTTGAGATTAAGGCTACATTTTATCAATCATCATCCTTATCACTTATTAAAGTCGTTTATTGAAATATTTGGAATTTAATTTGAACTAACAGAGAGTTTGTTTAACAATCTTTAAACTATAATTCTTAATTACCACCGTCACGCGCGGTAAACATGCCGCGAAGAATGTGAACATAAGCGAATGCAGGGATTTTATCTCGTACGTAATAAAAATGGTTGAGTAATAATTATAATAAAATTTTTTTCCTCACTAAATTAATTCATTCTCTGCGTCATTGTCAAATAATGATTGGTTACAAAAATCGATCTTGATTCGTCAATTTGAGATTAAGGCTACATTTTATCAATCATCATCCTTATCACTTATTAAAGTCGTT